ACAATTTCAACAATCCAAACAATACACTAATATTCAAAAACATTGTACAATACAAAACCAAAATGAAAATTGAAGAAATCCTTCAATGTACAAATGTGGTTTGCTATATAGGTCCATATGTCAATAATTCACATCATCCGTGGATAAAAGATACTTAAAATATAATCCACATTGGTGACGTATCTTGCAACTAGCAAATCTGTCAAAAGGTCAAGATTAAGTGTGGTTGGCTTAGTTTTGACAAGTTGAGTTAAACTGACGATGCTGGTTTGGTACCTGGCCCAGCCATCAAGTTTAATTCACAGGTCTTGGTGTTTGATGATATTTTCATGGCTTGTTCTTGGGGGAGGGGTACCAAACTAGCAATGGTTAATGTACCATTGCAACTTCATACTAAAATCATAGAAATGGTTAATGTAACTCTTACTAAATTAAAACCAAATCATCCCAAAAAAAAATTCACATTTCTTATTTACTTTCCTACAATTTCTCAGTAGGCAAACATATCTCATAATAACAAAGCACTGAGTGTTTCTTCTTCTTCTGTTTTTTTTTTTTTTTTTTGGGTTCAATTTTCTGAAAAACAAAAAAAAAAATTAACCCAAACAGAAAGAAGTACATAAAACATCAAATTACCTGATAAACTTCAACGATAAAGAACAGAGCCTCAACTCTCTACAGCTCAAATCCAGTAAATCGACCAACTCGTCCAATCGGAGACACAAACTTGCCAAATCAAAGGCAAAAACCTAAAACGAATTTCAAGTGTTTTCTAGGGTTTTTTTTTATGCTCGATTTGTGATTTTACTTAGAAGAAATACAACGCAAGAGAGGGGGTCATGCAAGAGATGGAAACTAAATGGAAAAATAGCAACAAATTTAGAGCGCCAAATTTTTCACGGTTTCTATAGCATTCGTTCTTTGCTATAACCTGTAGAACAAAGTTCCGTATTAGGCAACCTTTAATATTGTTTTTCAACTGCTATTAAAATATAAAAAATTGCACAAAAAAGTAAATGTTATTATTCAAAAATCATTTACAGCATTTATTTAAAAATGCTATGTATTCCTTTTATTTTATAACATTTATAAAAAAAAATGCTATAAACAAATGTTATTAAGGCCAAGTTTGGCATGAGACAAAAAAGATAAAAAGTCAAAAAGTCACTATCCTATTTAAATCACATCATCTTATTTAACTCACATTATCTCTCTAACACATCACTTCAAACTCAACCCAAACCCAACTCATATTTCATAAAAAGTCAAAAAATGCACTTATTTAGTCTTCCCAAACTAGGCCTTATACTTTTTGTTGTTAGTGGACGTAATCATCACCTTTGGACAATAATGAAGAAAAGATAAGAATATGGAAAGGTAAAGTAAAAAATGGTTAATAAAATTGGAGTAAAAGAAGTAAAAAGATAATAAAATTTGGTTAGGTTCGATCGCATGTTATATCAAATCTAATGCGTCTTGAATCATCACATACTATTGTTGTCATATTTGGTGATTCATGAGGCAAATCTACCATTTCCCTTTAGGTAACTCTATGATAAGAATGAGGTATTGTCTATCTTTTATTTTATTTATTGAGCTCTTGTCCCATCTTTTTTAAAGTCATCATGCAACAAATTTTCAATGATTGATGATTTGATAATTGAATTCGCTCCTCCCTTGATCATTTTCATGATAGGAAAGGGCAAAGAGGATAAACATCTCTTGAAAACACTCTGTTTTAGCTTTGTTGCAGCAAGGTATTTCCCAAAAGCAGTGGCCAGCCATCATTCTGTATGGCCGACAACTATCTCAGGCTGGCCGGCTAGCTATTTTGTATAGGCAGTGGCATTTTTATAGCAGAACATAGCAGAATCTGAGGCCAGAATAGAATAATTTTCTGACTGCAAACAGAGCTGATCCTGGCAGCAAACAGAGAGGTTTCTGGAGGGTGTTTTTCTGTTGTGCGCATACCGTTCCTCGATTCTCATCTGAGTCAATTAGATTGAATATTCATACTTTCTAATAATTTGTAATTAATTACTTAGTTGCTTAGCTTTTATTTGAACTTGTAATAATCTAGTTTATTCAATTATGCTGTAATAATTACTTTAATTAGGACATTCATTCGGACCCTCTTGTGCAAGAGCAAACTTATAACATTTTTTTTATTAGCTAAGGTCCCTCAACATTTTCACAGAAAAAAATTCAACTCGGAGAAATTTCAACCCAAACTTAGAGAAATTCTGAAATTTCTCTAGTATGATCACAGAGAAATTTCTTCTCTGTGAAAATTGAAATTTCTCTGAGTCGGAGCAAAATTTCTCTGAGTCAAATTTTCTTTGTATAAATGTTGAGTGACCTTAACTAGTATGAAAATATTGTATATCTTTTATCTTATAAAATCTTAATATTATGGATCTTAAAAAAAAAATTCTCTTAAAAAATATAATATTTGGGATTTTTTTTTTAAATTACCAAATACAAAAAATACAAAAAAAGAAAAAAAAATCAATACATTTGTATCTTTTGCTGTATTCAATAAATTTTTTAAAGATTTTTGTATAATTTTTTTTTTCTTTTGAAATATATTAAGATAGTAGATCCAAAATGTAATTCCTAGTTTGCAAAGATAGTTTGGGCTAATTTATAAACCACTAAAAGACAAAGGGTTGTTTTATGAAGTGCAATTTTTAAAAAGACGTGTAAAAAGTAAAAAAATAATCTAACTTAAATAAGTTAAAAAATCAACAAGATGGCTTATAATCCACTTCTCAAAAGTTAAAATAGACTAAAAAGTTAATAAGACAAAATATCACATCTGAACTATAATCATTTTATTTTATTTTCTCACAAAACTACAGAAAATCCAAAAGTTTATCCAAAACAAAACTTTTTAATCAGACTAAAATACTAAAAATTCAAACATCAGACGAAAAAATTCATCCCAAATGACCCATTAGCTAATAAAATGTCATTTTTTTAACACCCAAAGCATAAATTATAGCATTATTTTGTAGAATGCTAAAAATAAATTACCATGTTTTAAAATAAATAAAAAGGCACAATTATTAATCTATTTTTATTTTAGTAGAAATAACTGCACATGCTACACCACTGTTCAGTTATTTCCCCTTCATTCTATTGATTAAAAATTTATCACAAGATCTTATATAAATTTGTCTTTCTCAAGTCATCTACAATCCTCCATCAAATCAGATATCAATTTCAAATTTGATAAAAAAAATGGTGAGAATTCAGCTTCAATCGTTTCATCAAATATATATCAAATGAAGGGAGAGTTACTTTTTTTTCATCAAATTAAGGAAATTTTGTCTTTTCATCAAATTTGTAGGTAACCGTTGGCCCGGACGTTCTCCCAGACAATTAGATTTTTGAATGACTTAAGCATTTTTTACTCTTTATCGAATGACAGGACGATCGGTCAAATTGATGAAAATCGTTGAAGAGTATGATATCAAATCAAATTTTTACTCAAATTTAATAAAGCGTTGGAGATGCTCTAAATGACACAAAACAAGTGTGATAGTGGGTCTACCATGTTGAAAAAACAATAAACAAATGTATTTTCCCAAAAAAAGGAAATTGGCATAAAGAAAATCTAACTCATTTTTCAAAAAATTGAGTATTTTCATTTTCCTTTGTTTTTTTGTTTTTTTGTTTTTCTGTCTGTAGTGTATTTTTAAAAATATTTTAGACAATTTTTTAAATATTTTTTAGATACACCTAATCTAGATACACTTAAAAAATAGAAAAAATTAGTCAAACATCTCTTTCAAACTTTGTATAGTAAGAGAAGTCTAAGATATTTTTTTTTTATTCGCTAAGGTCCCTCAACATTTTCACAGAGAAAATTTGACTAAGAGAAATTTTGCCCAACTCAGAGGAATTTCACCCGACTCAGAGAAAATTTGGTCCAAACTCAAAAAAAAAATTGAAATTTATCTAGTATGATCACAAAGAAATTTCAAAATTCTCCGTAAAAATAGAAATTTCTCCGAGTCGAGGCGAAATTTCTTTGAGTCGAATTTTCTCTGTAGAAATGTTGAGTGACCTTAACTAATATGAAAATATTATATGCCTTTTATCTTATAAAATCTTAATATTAGATGTCTTTAAAAAAATTCTCCTAAAAATATAATATTTGTGATTTTTTTTAAAAAAATTACCAAATACTGAAAATACATAAAAAAGAAAAGAAAAATTAATCACTTTGTTTGGTTCTGGTTTTCTAAAAACAGTTTTCAAAAATTTTTATTTTTTTATTTTTTGTATTTTAATGTTTTTAATGAATTTTTTTAATATTTTAAGCCATTTTTTTTAATTGTTAAACACACCTAATATAAATACACTTAAAAAGTATAATGTTTATGGAAAAAAATCTTTAAAACATACATTAAATACTAAAAAATATGAAAATTCAATACATTTTTTGTATTTTTATGTATTTATTAATTTTTTGAAATATTTTTTTACAAATATTTTATTATTTAGATACATCTAAGTAAGATGCATCCAAAAAAGTAAAAAAAATTGCTTAAAATTTAAAAAATATTTACTAAAAACAAAAAAAATACGAAAAACTAAAAACTTGGTTTTCAGAAAACTGAAACCAAACACGCTGATTATATTTTTATCTTTTGTTGTATTCAATAAATTTTTTAAAGATTTTTGTACAATTTTTTTCTTCTTTTAAAATATATCAAGTAGATCTAAAATGTACATAAAATTAAGTAAAATATTTTTAAAAAGTTATTAAAAATGAGTTAGACCAAATAGAGAACAAATTTTTTTATTTTAATTTATATTTTAACTAATAAAAAATGAAGGGTTATATTTTAACTAGTAAAAAATGAAGGGTATGTTATGATTAGAATTGCTCAAAGAGAAAAAAATTAAAAAAGATTTTAATAAAAATATTGATAAAATGATTGGAATTAAAGAGTATTATTTATTTATTTATTTAAACAAAACTTATGGAATAATTTATAGTCTGTGTGAAAGTCGCGCAGATAGGTATTCGGAGCCAGGTATCGCATCAGATCTGAAAATACCTTGAGATTGCACGCACGACATCATGCCTGCAAATGATTGTCGAAATGCTTCTTCTACTTCTTCTTATGTTTGATTCGCTTCGATTTCGCTTAGATTTCCTTTGCCCTTTCTTCCTATTTTAATCTATTTTTATGTTTTTGTTTTTTTCCCCTAAAATTTGTATATTTATAAAATATCAAATGGCCCAAAACTGACACCATGAAGAAGAAGCTCGATACCCGTTTTCCCGCTGTAAGTTTCTCTCTCTTCCTTTCCTATGTTTTTCATTTTTGCATCTGCAATCGATGCAGATGCGTATATGATTTTGAATTTTTGTGTTTTTGGGGGTTTGTTTTGTGTGTGTACCAAATAAAGTAGATGGGTGTTCCTTATTGGATTTTGTGGAATCTGGGTTATGCTTTGTATAGAGTTTATGATTGCTGATTGTTAGCATGACTGTGACATTAGGGCTTTAATTTCTAAAATTTGAAGTTATTTATGTATGTGTTTGTATTTGATTTGGGTGTTCTATGCCAGTATGAAAATGTTTGAGAACCCTAAACAGCTGCCTCAATTTGACCCCAACTTTTGATTTGTCACACACTCCACCATATAGGTCCCAACTCCCTTTCTACATCCTTGTGAGTCTAAATTTTTGGACTTTAGCATTTCTCATGGAAGTATATGATTGTGTTATGTTTTGCTTTGAATTTCGGATGGATTGTCTTTGGCATTGTTATTATTAGGATTTTCATTGCTTTGGGTAGGTAGGTAGTAATTTTGATTGTGTATTTGGTTTTTTTATAAAAATTTCATATTTTTTTTGTAGGAGAATCAAATACTTTTTTTTTTTTTTTTTTTTTGGTTGAACCATCAGCTTAGAATTTATTACACAAGGCACATGCACAATCCGTATGCAAAGATAAAAACCTGTACCCTCAATACAAAAACAACCTATTCTGAAACCTCTATAAAATTCAAAATTTGATCTAAATGATAGTTGAGGATATGGTTTCTAGGATTAATTATGATGATTGAGCAAAAGAGGTCATAGGTAGGATAAGTTATAAATGGAGATAACAAGTTGGAATTTTCATGGCCTTGGGTCTAGGAGTAGGAGAAGTGCGGTGAAGGATACTTTGATCAAGAATAATCCAGATATTGTAATCTTTCTAGAAAGTAAAATTGAAAATTTTTTAGGAGCATTTGGCGGGGCTTGGAATAGGAGTTAGGAGGCCTTATCTTTTAGTAGTAGATCCTTGGGGGATTTTGATTGTTGGGGATGATAGGGTGGTCGGTAAGCTACAAGTAGTATTTAGGGTGTTTTTTGTCTATACGGTTTAGAGACTTTGATGACAACGATGAGTGGCTTAGTTTATGGGGGTCTATGGTCCTAAGTCATAGGTTTAGATGGTTGTTTGTTGGAGTTAATTGGTTTGTTTGGGTTGTGTCTGCCAAATTGTTTTGGGAGGTGATTTTAACGATAATGGATTTGCTTCAAAAAAGTTGAATGGGGATCTCAAGGCGTATGAGAGATTTTTATGCTTTTATTACGAATTGTGAGTTGGTTGATCCACATTTGTTGAATGCTTGTTTTACTCGGTCTAATTTTCAGGAAAATTTAGATTATGATAGATTTGATAGTTTTTTATTTTCTTTAGATTGGAAGGAGAGGTTTCCTAATGTGAGTCTGGAGATTCTTCCTGGTAGTTTATGATCATAAACCAGTGGTATTGGAGAATTGTCCTTTTAAGTGGAGTCCTACTTTGTTTAGGTTTGAGAACATGTGGTTAGCATGGTTGTTAAAATCGCAATCCGGATCGTAGGATCGTACGATCCTACGATCCTACTTTGACAAAACGATCCAAATCGTTGTAGGATCAATGTTATAACAGGATCGCATGGGATCGTGTAGGATCGTAGGTAGGATCGCAGGTAGGATCACAAGTAGGATTGTAGATTTTATGATTTTTCACCTTATTTTTAATATGTATCATTTTAATTTTTATTTTATCTTTTTTTTTAATAGAAAGTAGGATCTTACGATCCTCGATCCGATTCTACGATCCGATCCACCAGACCCTCTCACCGATCCTACTTAGGATCCCGATTTTAACAACCTTGGTGGTTAGAGAATCAATTGCTTAAGAAATGATTTAGGGAGTGCTTGGGATTCTTGTAGGATTCATTTTTTTTTTGACTTTGGTGGATTAGGGTTGAAAACTTGCAATCAAGAGGTTTTTGACTTTGGTAGTTTGAACAAAGAGAAAAATGGGATTCATAATTGGAATGTTGAGTTGGATATTATTGAGGAGAGAGATGGTTTTGATGAGGCACTTAGATTAGAAAGTAGGGATTTAAAGTCTTAGTTTGAAGTTGTTTTATCGAAGAAATTTCTTTGACTCAAAAAATCTAAATTTAAATGGTTGAAATAAGAGTATAATAATTCTAAATTGTTTTAGAAAGTTGTAACTGGTAGAAGGAAAATTGAAGTTTATTAGATTGGAAGTAGGGTCGGTTTTGCCTATGGAGAGGGGGAATTATCGCAAATGAAATTTTTTCTTTTTTTCTTTTTTTAATTATTACTACTTGTATGGGGTGGGGTAGTTTGGGAATCGATGGAATGGTTTGGTCTCCCATTGGTGCAGATAAGTTTAGATGGTTAGAAAGGCCATTCGAAGAGGAGGAAGTTAGGAATGTTGTTTTTGAGTGTTAGGGGGATATGCCCCTGGGGCTTGATGGATTCACCTTAGCTGTTTTTTAGGTTTGTTTGGATGTTATAAATAAAGATTTGGTGTAGGTTTTTGGTGAGTTTTTTAAAGGTGGAATTGTTAACTCTTGTACCAACGCTACTTTGATTTGCTTGATTCCTAAGAAGGATAATTCATTAAAAAGTTTTGACTGAAGTTTTATCTTTAAGATTGAGATCGGTTTTGGGGATATTGTTTCTATGTCTCAAGGGCATTTGTTGAGGGGTGTCCAATGTTGGATGTAGTTTTAATAGCAAATGAGGTGGTGGAGGATTATAGAAGTCTAGCAGGGAAGGTTTTGCTTTTAAGGTTGATTTTTAACAAAAGCATATAATCAAGTGGATTAGGGTTTTTTGGATTTTGTCATGCTAAAAAAGGGTTGTGGAGAAAGAGGAAATTTGTGCCCTCTTCTTGGAGGAAATGGGTAGAGTGTGCCATTCGTCCTCTTTTGGGCTTCGGTTTCTAAACCTTTTAAGGGGATCCTACTTTTTTTGATTTATAGGGATTGGAATGCAGTATGTAATTTATAGTTTGTGATCTCGATCAATTTATGCTCTCTTCTTTTCTTTCTTTATTTTGATGGAATCCACCATTCTATTGTCGAGGATTAAAAAAAAAGAAAAAAGAAAAAAGAAAAAAGAGATGGAGGAAATGGATTAATGGATGGTTGTCTTTGTGAAATTTTTTAGTTATAGTCAATGGTAATGCGGGTGGTTCTTTTAAGGCATCTAGGGGGCTTCGACAGGGTTACCTGTTGTCTCTCTTTGTGTTTACTTCAATGGTTTACGTTTTGGGAAGGTTGGTAATAGAGCAAAGGAGATCAGTTTGGTGGATGGTTTTAAGGAGAGGATTTATGTTTCTCATTTACAATTTTCTAGAAGTGGGCATTGATTACAATTCTGGTAGGGGTGGTGAACTATAAAGCACGGACACCTCTCCGAGGGCTACGTATCAATGTCAGACACGCGTCGAACATGGGCACAGACACACGTTGGGCACGCGGTGAACACATGTCAGACACGCAGTAGAAGGTGTCCGTTTTTTTTTTTTTTTTTTTTTTTGCAGCCGGACAAGTAATGGACACATTTGGGACACGTTCGGGACACCGCGGGGTGAAAATCATAATTTATGAAACTTCAAGTGAGGGTCAATTTGTAAAAAAGAAAAATTAAAGCAAACAGATCAATTTGTAACCTAGATATCAAATAGAGAGAACAGAAGAGACTGAGAGAATGGCTCGTCGAGCACACTTGGTCGCTTGTCACTGTTTAGTCGTCGCTCGTCGGTGGTCGGTGGTCAACCGTCGCTGGTTGCTGCACAACTTCGATCTTCTTCTTCATTTGGATCTTCTTCATTCTGCTTCTTCTTCTTCGATCTTCTCTCTCGTCTCTCTTAGTCGCTCTCTCTCTTCTGCTCTGCTCTTGGACTTTTCTTTTCTTTTCTTTTTTTGTTCTTTTATATGCTAATTGTAACACCTCCCTCTCTCTTACTCTCGCCTCCCCTCTCTCTTATTTTTTTTTTCAATTTTATTTTATTTTTTCTCCTCTCTCTGCCTCTGTTATTTAATTATATTCTTTTTTTTTGTTGATTACTTTTGTTAATTTTAATGATATGTGTTTATTAATTTTATTATAAGAACAAATTTTAATAGTGTTATTTTGTATTTTTTAATTACCTTTCAATTATTATTTATTTTTTTTATAATTTTATGACATATAATAAATAAATTTAATTATATATACTGAACGTGTTCCTAGCGTGTCGTGTCTCTCATTTTTTGAAAATTTGCGTGTCTGTGTGTCCATGTTGTGTCACGTGTCCGTGTCCGTGTCCGTGTCCGTGTCCGTATTTCATAGGTGGCGACAGTGTTTTAAAAAGCGCGCTTAGGCGCGCGCCTAAGCTCAAGGCGAGGCAAGGCGCAGCTTTGCGCCTCAGTCATGGTGAGGCGAGGCGACACAGGTGAAGTGCTGCCTAGACGATGAGGCGAGCGCCTTATTACGAAGCGCAAGGCGAGCGCCTTGTGCGCCTCGGCTTTCTTCCCCTCCCAGGTTCTGCTCTCTTCTCCTCTTCTCTTCTCTTCTCTGCTTCTTCTCCTCTCTCTGCTTCGTTTCTGCTTCGTCTTCTCTTTCCTTCTTTCTGTCTTCTTCTCGCTCCTGCTTCACGATCGCTCTCTCTCTCTTCTGCTTCATTTCTGTTTCACGATCGCGAGCTCTCTCCCACTCGCCTTCTCTCTCGCGATCGCGATCTCTCTCTTCTGCTTCGTTTCTCGTTCATGATCACTCTCTCTCTCTCTCTCTCGCGCGATCTATCTCTCCCTTTTATTTTCTGTATTCATATATATATATATATATAATAAAAAAAATTGAACACTCTAGTGCATGTCGGACACGTGTCCACCGCGTGTCCGTGTCCGACACTGGTACGGAGCCCTCAGAGAGGTGTCTGTGCTTCATAGGATAATATGTAAAATGAAATACATTAATTATTTAAAAATAAACACATGTACATAAAATAAAAATATACTTATGAAAAATAAAAATAAACACATGTATATAAAATAAAATAAAAAAATTAATTAAAACACATTATTTAAAAAATATAACAAATAAATAAAATAACATATATATATTAAAAAATTAATTGTTTTTTTTTCTTATTAAAAAAATTAATAATATACATATTAAATATTTGTTTATATTGGAAATTGTGCTTTATTAATATTTTGCTTAACTTCTATAACTTGCGCCTCGCTTTGGTGAGGCGCGCGCCTCGCCTCACGCCTCGGGGCTTAGGCTCCAGGTGACCTTGGCGCCTCGATGCGCCTAGGGCTTTTTAAAACACTGGGTGGCGAATAGGTTAAAAATATGATGAGGGACTTTTTGTGGGAGGGAAGTGCTGAAGGGAGGAATGATCATTGGTTAGTTGGGAGGTGGTCTCTCTGCCAAGGAATAAAGGGAGTCTTGGGTTAGGGAATATTGTTGCTCCTCTTCTTCAAAATTCATTTTCAATAGTATTTCTGTCATTTATTTGTACCTTCTAAATTTAGGAATGAAAGGGAGGTACAGATTCACGTTGTTGGTTTCTTATTAGATAGATACAATACATCATGACTTGCACCTTTAGAAATTTTCAGAAACTTCTTTGCATGGTGTAGGACTTAAGAAATTTACTTTTTCCATTCAGTAAGGTTAGATCTCAAATTGGCTTTTGCCTAAAAGATTTGATAGGTACATTCACAGGGTGGGGACGATCAGAATGTTGAGTACTACTAATGCATAAACAGCATGATGTGGTAAATCATGTTAATGATCTAATGTCTTAAGCTATAATGGTGTTTAACTGTCGCTTGCAATTTAGGGCCTATTTGGTTGTACTTTTGTTTTATGTTTTCATTTTCAGGAGAACACATTAAACCTGTTTGGCAAATTGTTTCTAAAAACAATTTTTGTACGAAAATAGAAACGATATGAAAATGATGGCTGTTTTCGAACTTTTTATATTTTTTGTTTCTGAAAAAAGGGAAAAACAAATATGTAGAAAACTACACAACCAAATAGGCCCTTAGAGGCTTGTGTAAGTTATTACCTTCTTTAATGGTTCCTTGTGAAACCTTAAAATCCTGGCAAACTGAGAATAAACTCGCCTGGTTTGGAATTTTGTGTTCATTAAGGTTCTGAACGACATACTTCAATTCAGTTGCATTGCAAGTCACATACCTCAATGCAACAAGACTTCTAATTGAACCTACTATAAGTTGGTTTCAATTGCAAGTGTATAATTAATTGCATGTGGGTTAAATTTCGTCCGCTTCATGAGTTAGAAACAGCCATGCATTAGCTAATGTAATTTCCGCTAATGTGATGTAGAGCATAAGAAAATCAAGAAACGGTAAAATTAAAAAAGTGATAATTCTTAAAAATTGCTTGGTGCCAAGCCAAACTATTCGGATAATGTGTAATCAAGATTTTATTTATGTTAGAGTCCTATTTTATAATTATTTAGACCAGGTATTAAACATTATTCAACCCTCAATCTGTTAACCCTGGTGTCATGTAAAACAAAATCTGAAGGTATTACAGTGTCCAAAACAACCCCCAAACAGCCGGTAAAACCTTGCGTTGTTATTCTAGAACCCTTACCTGTTTTGTTACACTTTTTGAAGCCTAAAATCTCTCATATTTGTACCAGTCTTCCAGCCTTTTTCATTGCTGTGTCATATTATGTTTGGGCTCCCTATTAGTAGGAGAGTATTCCTTGCACTCATCCTATGATATAATGTTTCATGAGATCATTGTTGTATCATGACATGGGGCGTCTTGGTGTTTTGATACATGGAACAATGTGATAACATGAAATAATCTGAATTCTAATTTCTTTATGTATTTTGTCTCTTTAATGAATGAGAGTTTTGTAAGTTTATCCTTGTTATCTAATAGAAATTGTTAATTTGTCAGGCCCGGATTAAGAAAATAATGCAGGCTGACGAGGATGTTGGCAAGATTGCTATGGCGGTGCCTGTTTTAGTTTGTAAGTAGTTTTAATTTTTTAGCCGTAACAACTTATTTGTCTTGACTCTTCCATCACTTACCCTTCTGGAATACTGGTGCAGCTAAAGCTTTGGAATTATTTTTGCAAGACCTTTGCGATCGGACATATGATATAACCCTTCAAAGAGGAGCAAAGACAATGAGTGCGTTGCATTTGTAAGTCAAGTTTTTAGATCGTCGTCATTAATAGTCATTGCCATATGGGGAATCAAAATTGGCTATATATTGTAATCAATTATATCTCAATATTAGTGGGATAGCTTTAACCATTTATTAACCTTTTCGTGTTTTTTCTATTCAAAATGGGAAATGTTTTTATTCAAAATGACTATTGTTATCTCCAACATGGGTGCACCTGTTGGCTAGTATCTGTCAAAAGTGAAAAATATTGTGTTGTTTTTTAGGTTCATGCTTTGTGTTATGGTAATTTGGTTGCATTCTTCTGCCATAAATGTTCTACAGAAAATTTTCATTCTTTCTTTCTCTTCTTTTCTTTTTGTGTTTTTGTTTTCCTTTTTCCTCTTATGTTTTAGCCCTCCAAAGTTGAATTTCATCTGCTGAAATTCTGTGCCTGAACTGCAGAAAACATTGTGTACGAAGTTACAATGTGTTTGATTTTCTGAGGGAAATAGTTAGCAAGGTTCCCGATTATGGTCATCCTGATGCTGCTGCTGAGGATCGAACCATGTCAAAGAGAAGGTTAGAGATATATGGCTTCCGTTTTTTCCTTTGTATGTCTTTTATTCCTCTGTTATATTACCCAGACTAACTAGTTAGTTGAAAATTTTGTTCTGTCCTAACAGGAAAGCTGTAGGTGAGGAATTCAATGATAGTGATGAAGAGTCAAAGAGGAGTAGGATGGTAAGATATCCTTTCTTTGGGTGCATCCAACATAAATGGGCGACTTTAAGTACTTTTACTACAGTAAACCGCAATCTAGTGAAATGAAATCCTTTCTTCTTCTTGTTTTATTTTATTTTATTTTTAAATTTTGAAAACTTCTAATGAAGACTTGTTTTTCTTAGTAGTTTTCCAAGATTAAGTCAATATTTTTTTAGAATTAGGTCAACATTAAAAAAAACATACTTGCATGGGATCTAGAGACGAGAATGGGGATCAGGGTTATCTCCGGAATGGAAAAAAAGAATTGGTCTTTAAGTATTTTATTTTATTTATTTATTTTTTTTTGGGGGTCTCCATTATCGTTGAGCAACTTGTGTGTTATGGCACGCTTCTCCATTAGTTGGGGGCTGTTGTGGCATGCTTCCCTGTGTGTTATTGTGGTCTGTTGGTTTGAATCCCAATCTGAATTATCAGATCCAATTAAAACAAGATGGTCAATGTTTATGTATTTTTTTATGCTACCTCGTAAAAAAGAGGGTGCCTCAATACATGAGGCTCCCGCTAAAGCGGGTGTGGTGTACACAACCTTACCTCCATATTTGGAGGCTGCTTCCATGACTCATACTTGTGCCGTTAGAGATGCTAACAGCCTTAACCGTTCGGTGAAGGCTCACTTTTTATTCTAATAGAACACATTATATAAAGTAGTTTTATATGTGGATATGAATCTACTATTGAAATCAAAATTAATTATTTGGGATTCTTCATGTTTTGATTCAAGCTGAGTTAATAATTTAATTTGATTTTTGAATTTGGTAGATGAACCCTACCATTTATAGTCCCAACTGTTGGTGTATTCATCCCTGAATTCCAATAGATCTTCATAAGCAAAGATCTCATGTTCTTCAGACATTTCCCCATCCAACTCCCCTGGAAAAATTAACAATGAAATAGGATGACACAAGTAAATAGACGTGCATCTTTTGGTTCGTTTGACACGATTTTCCTTAAGAAGTGGCAAATTAAATATAATGTACTTTTGATCTTAAAGTGCCGTAAGACAATAATCTTGTAGATTCATTTGTTTAATAAGAGCATTATAGTAGCCCGTGTACCAAACATGCATGCGTTGTATTTAATATTTAATGATATGTACAATGCAGTCACTTGTACCCAAAATAAATATTAAAAACAATGAAGAAAAAAGTGTAATTGAGTCAAGGTCATTACATGTGAAGGATACAATATTTTTCACAAGGAACGTGTCTTGTTTTATATATTTGTAAAAAATACAAAAAGTGTAAACTGTGCATGGATTAAGAAAACGAAAGTGCATAAGTGTTTTTATGATTAGAGGATCGATGACTTCCTTTCAATCTTCCATGGATGATCAACTCTCTTCCTGTTAGATTTGTCCAGTTATCTATCATGTCGCCTCTAATCCGAATTCTCCAGTAATATCTTCTTCTTGATTCTTGTTTTTATTTGAGTATGAAACCAACCAATAATTATCGAGCAATTGTCACTTGTTTGCTGCAGCATGACATAATAAGCCACGCAAGCAGCGGTGGCAGGGGAAGAGGAAGGGGTCGAGGAAGAGGCCGTGGCCGTGGAGCTCGAGTTTCACATAGAGAGCATGACGTCGACATCGACTGTTGCACTCCCGCTCAGCACAGCAGCAAGCAAACTTTGATTCCCGGGAAGCCAACAACAGATCATGATGGTCTTGAGTCGAAGGAAATACCAAAGGAGAATTCTGAAGTTTCTAACGGTGTGAATCCAGCAGGTAGAAATTTTGATCTGAACACTGAATTGAATGATAATACCGATAAAGCATCGTCTGGAGCAGCAACAGCAGCAGCAGCACCACCACCACCACCACCAGCGGCGTGTGCTTCGTCAACAGGGCCCACTGAAGTTAGAAGCGAAGAATATCCCGGTTGGTCGATTTCTGAGATGGACGGAATGACGATTGACCCTCTTCGATTTGCGCAACTCAATTCGAGGTTGGATGAGGATGAAGATTATGATGAAGAGGGCTAGAGGGGGTTAGCTAAGCATTAAAAATATAGGCCGAAGCTAAGCTATGAAGGAAACAAAAGTAAAGATGGAGATATAAGAATAGTTTTCTTCAACCTCTCCTCATAAGGTCCTGTTTGGCTTATCTTGTAGCTGTTTTATGGTATGTTTTGTTATTTTGCTATTTTGCTAACAACAGTAGTGTAGTTTAGCTTTTCTTACTTGGAGAAATTTTAATTTGTGCATGGGACTTGTAATTGACATAAGAAGACTATGGCTGTGACAGCAGAATTAGTCATGCAACTTTATTACTCTCTCTCTAGAAATATGTTTGTGATTGCTGTTAATAACCTTTGCAAGCCTAGTATCCATACTTGGATTGTAATAGGTTTTATTAGGTTCTCGTAGTAAAAATCTCGATCTAAAATTGGTAAAAGTTTTAGGTGAAGAAGATAGAGAAAATCCATTTGAGATGATGAAAGTTGAATACTATCCTCAAAGTAAGTTGAAAGTGAGAATGAAAGTACACGGGGTGTGGGGCTTGGCCTCCGAATTGTACGGGAGACGAGTTTCTGTCTCAACCGCTTGGGCCGAAGATTGGAGAAGTTTAGGAGAGATGAGGAGATTCAGGGTTGGTTTGGCAAAGGCTCATTGGATTTTTTTGGCTCAATAAGTCATAAAAGACAGAATAGACTCATGAGTCACAACAGACAAAACATCTCATCCAATTCCATAATCATTATACTCTTCTCTCACAAAAAAATTAAAAAAGTCAAAAAGTCAAAAGTCCTTCCCAAACTAAGTTTTTGAACCTAGGTTCATATAGTCAAAAAAGTCAAAAAGTCAACCCACTTCCTAAACGGAGGCTCAATATAAGTTCTCAGAATCAAATTAACTCCAATCTTGACAGACATTTAATCACAAGTATCTCAGCCTCTTATCTTTGACTTCATCATTTGTTACCATTCAACGTTTTTCATGGCGTTTCTCTTCATGGCCCATGGGTATGTGAATTTCTCTATTTTAAAAATAAAAAAAAAAATTTACATAACACAAATTGTACAAGACTTGAAATCAAAGCTTTTGGTCAAAGAATTTTTTTTTTTTACCACTTAAGTAACAACACCAATGTAATATTGATTTTTTATCATTTAATTTTAATTTTATTTATTTGAACACTCCGTTTTATTTAATTAAACACATCTAATTTCATCTTTAATGATATGAAAGTTGAATACTATCCTCAAAGTAAGTTGAAAGTGAGAATGAAAGTACACGGGGTGTGGGGCTTGGCCTCCGAATTGTACGGGAGATGAGTTTCTGTCTCAACCGCTTGGGCCGAAGATTGGGAGAAGTTTAGGAGAGATGAGGAGACTCTCCTTTGGGGAGTGGTTATTTTAGTCAAAAAATTAAAAAGTTAATTAAAATTTGTCACATCACCTTTCTATTTTTCTGCACATCTTTTTATAAAAAATTAAAAAATTATTAAAATAGTCTGTTCCCAAACCAGGCCTCAATATAAGTTCTCATAATCAAATTATCTCCAATCTTGACAGACATTTAATCACAAGTATCTCAGCCTCTTATCTTTGACTTCATCATTTGTTACCATTCAACGTTTTTCATGGCGTTTCTCTTCATGGCCCATGGGTATGTGAATTTCTCTATTTTAAAAATAAAAAAAAAAATTTACATAACACAAATTGTACAAGACTTGAAATCAAAGCTTTTGGTCAAAGAATTTTTTTTTTTTACCACTTAAGTAACAACACCAATGTAATATTGATTTTTTATCATTTAATTTTAATTTTATTTATTTGAACACTCCGTTTTATTTAATTAAACACATCTAATTTCATCTTTAATGATGTGGACGAAAAATAAAATTTGAGAGAAAAGAGTGTAAATATATTTTCATGTAGACCTTAAGTGAAATTAACAAGTCTCAATTAAAAGGTTGAATCATTTTACGTGACGTGTGTGAACCGCATATCTTATGTAATGCATACGTAATTATTAACGAGATAAGGTGGCCAACCAGAACAGCCAAGTCGATACGTCAACTAAAAAATCTTGAATTGGTCAAGCAGAAGAAATTAAGGTCGCAGAATACTTTAATGGATGGACCTATCTATACTATTATAAAGTGAACAGAAATTTTGATATTCTGAAGCTTTATTCTCCTCCTCATGTCATGTGGCAGTATTTTTTATTTTTAAAAAAAAAGTAAAACAAAGAGATGGACAAGGCTTGAACCCATGACCATGGATTTAAGTACGAAGACTCATATCACTTAAGTTAAGTACACATTATAATACTAATTTTATTATTATTTTTTTTTATTTCTACTTATTTAAATTGCACACATCGTGTGTCACCCATTAGTTATTCATAAAACGATCACTCATCCCTCTCCCATTAGTTATTCATAAAACGATCACTCATCCCTCTCCCATCACTATTACAACCTTTGACAATTTTCATGCACCGACAAATTATAGTAACTTGGATTGCAAAATTGTCTCTATCACAAATAAAAAACACAAGCTTTGTTTTGAAAAAAAAAAAAAAACATCAGCAAATTTATAGCACAGAACAGAACTGAACTGAACTGAGCAGAGCAGAGAGGTTGCAGAAACTTGAAAATGGAGGTGAAGAGACGAACAGCGAAGACTCTGGTGGCGAAGCTGAGCTCAGTGTCCGAACAGTCTCGCAAGGAAGCTCTCTCTGAGCTCCGACTCATCACCAAGCACGACCCCCTAAGCCGACCCCTCATCGCCGACGCCGGAGCAATCCCTTTACTCGCCAACACCCTCTATTCTCCCTCCTCCACCTCCCAAGACAACGCCACCGCCACCCTCCTCAACCTCTCCATCTCCTCCCCGGAAACCCTCATCTCCACCCGCGGCCTCCTCGACGCCCTCTCCCACTCCCTCCGCCGCCACTCCTCCTCCTCCTCCTCCGCCGCCGCCGCAGCCGCCACCCTCTACAGTCTCCTCACCGTCGACGATTACCGCCCCATCATCGGCTCCAAGCGCGACATCGTCTACGCCCTAATCGACATCGTCAGAAACCCTAATTCGCCCTCGAAATCGATCAAGGACTCTCTCAAGGCCCTGTTTGGGATCTCTCTCTACCCGCTTAATAGATCCACGGTGATTGAATTGGGGGGAGTGAATGCTCTGTTCTCGCTGGTGATGAAGGAGGGGAGAGTTGGGTTGGTGGAGGATGCTACGGCGGTGATTGCGCAGATTGCTGGGTGTGAAGAGGCCATTGATGGGTTTCGAAAGGTTTCAGGGATTGGAGTTTTGGTGGATTTGTTGGATCCGTTGACGGGGTCGAGTGGGAGGACGAGAGAGAATGCAGTGTCGGCGTTGTTGAATTTGGTGAGATGTGGAGGGGAAAAGGTTGCGAAGAATGTTGGAGAAATGGGGTTTGGGGTTTTTGATGGAATTGGGGAAGTTGCAGAGAATGGGAGTGAGAAAGGGAAGAGCAAAGCCATTGAACTGTTGAAGATTCTCTTGAAGGTTGTTGACGATGATGATCATCATCATCACTCTTCTCGTGAATTATATACGTGAGATTGTTGTATTCATTTGTGTGGTTTTAGTGTCCATTTGATATGAGGTTGGAATTGAATTTTGTAGTGGTGGTGTATCATAATAAGGTTGTTATGTTTGCAATATCAAGATATGATCATGTATCCTTCTACTAGTTTGCTAAACAATTAATGTAAAATAAGTTCATAAAAAAAATTAATTCTAAAAGGGTTGGTTTATTTATTTTTTTATCATTAGTTAAAATTTACACGCGTGATTTATTTTGTAGAACCCTTTAGTATATTATTCAAATAAAAAAATTATATTGACTCAATCAACATAACCTATTACAAAGATCTATAAAATGCAAATAAAGACTCTACTTTACAGAGTTTGTATGTGTCAAGAAAAAAATGTTATTCGACATCTTTCACCAAACATTGAGCAAAATAATCAATTTTGGAGTTTTGTAAGAACGCTAGAGGAGTTTTAAATATTTTCTTAACTTACAATAACATAAACAAAAATGCTTTAGAGCTCTAACAAAAGAGCTCTAATAGCTCTAATGGGAAGGTGGGGCCCACCCTGATGTGATGTTTGTGTCTTGTTTTATTTTATTTTATTTTATTTTTTACTTTGACACATCACTAGAGCTCAAATTAGAGCTCTAGATTTAGAACTTTCTAACATTTCCCTAACATAAATCATAGGTGGAAGCCCAAGGTTATTGTCTTCGTGAGTTCGGCTTGATGGATGCACACCGAGGGGCTGGTAAACCTGTTATGTGTGAGTGGAGGAGGTGATGAGTTCGTCTTCAACATGGAGAATTTTATTATGCTCATCTCATATCATTTGTACTTTTAACTATGTTTTTTTTTTTTTTCTGTAGTTATAACTAATTTTTTTCTTTAATTATAACATTATTTTAAGATTTTAGTTATGACTTTTTTGTGTTTAATTATGATTTTATTTTTTTTAATTATAACTTAAAAAATATGAAATTATTTCATTTTCTTCTATAATTATAAGGTGCATATAGTTTGTCTCCATGATTATTGATGATTTCACTTGTCCAATATAAGATAGTATTATTGGATCTAAAAAAAAATTAAAAAGTAAGTTTGTATATCATTTTTCAAAACGTATTCACCACCAAAAGGCTTCATGGACTCTCTTGAGAATGAATGTAGTGTGTATGGATGGCATTCTTAGAGCATCAGTAGTGAACTAGCTAGATGTTGTGTTAGTGTCGGTTGCTAATTTTTGACTAACTTAAAACACTGTTTTGTGGTGTAATGGAGTTGCTAAGGGGTGTGTTAGTGTTAACTATTAGCGTTAGTTATTAACTTGTGTGTTAACTCGTTTAACAGTTATTTAAATAATAAAATAAATATATTATTTATATATTAAATAATGTAAAAATAAGATAAATATGTTATTTATATATTTAAATAATATAAATGTAAATAATAGTGAAATTTTTTTATATGTAAATAATAGCTAACTATAGATAATACATTTATATAATAGTAGTGATAGGTATATTATTATTTTGGTAAGATATTGACTTTTTTTTAGTATATATATATATATTATAATTGAATAATTAAAGTTTCAATTGTAACTTTAATCTCATACGCAAGTATGAATTTATAATTTATTTGGCTAACTTAAAACACTGTTTTGTGGTGCAACGGAGTTGCTAAGGGGTGTGTTAGTGTCAACCATTAGTGTCAGTTGTTAACTTGTGTGTTAACTATGGTGATGCTTCTAACCAGCCGAGAGAAAGAGAGAAGACCTGCGAACTTGTGTGTTAACAGTGTCGTCGGTCGTCTAGTAGGATGTTCGGCCAGACGTCCGGACCCTTGCTAGTCGTTTTAAGGGAGAGACGGAGCTCGGAAACATGGTCGTTTAAGAAAGAGACACTGGGAAGCATGGTCGTTTAAGAGAGAAACGGAGTTGGAAAGTTGAGAAATAGAGTCGGTTTGAGAGAGAGACACTGGGAAGCATGGTCGTAAATACCTCTGAATGCATTTGAGAGAGAGACACCCCACACCTGACAAGATATTTATTGGAGTTGGGGAGGGTAATCCTGAGACCTAAATTGTTGATCCTGACCAGTCCGACCGGTTTCGAATGCTAAAGAAAATGAGATTCAAGCTCGTTGGTGGCAAGAACAAAGAGTACGTTCGCCACGGGATAGAAGTTGTAGACTGGTTCTTCCCAATTGATGTTTGGACAGACTACAAAGATACGTTGTTGGGAAATGTTGGAAGTATTCAAAAAGGTGCCATATATTTAGTGACTGCTACTGTTAGTGGAAAGGAATACAAAATTACTTTAAGGAGTCAAATGTACTTTAAAACTGTTTAGAATTGTAATTTTATGTATTTTATTTCTAATGTTCAGTTTAATGGAGGTGGACGATATAAAAACTGGGGTAGTTGAAGGTGTTTCAACAAGTGATTTCAATTGTATTGAACTTGCGTTGCCTAATTTATTTTCTCAATTGAGGTTAAGATACAAACAAAAAAGTATTAAGGTTGATAAAAAAAATTGATAAAATATTCCCCCCTTTGTGCACCCAATGCTAGTGGGTTGGTCAGAGTAAATATTTATGATCGGAGGTTAGACGGTAGTGACAGTTTGCAGGTGTTGTTTATTTTCCCAGTGGATTGTCAATGCGAGCTAGTCTATTATGGGAATGGTTATTGTTCAATTAACGACAAACAGGTGCCATGGATGGTGAAGTATCGACTTGAAAATTCGAATATTAAAAGGAGGGTTACGTATTGTAAAATGAAGGGGTATCTGAAGTATTCTACGAGTGACATGCCAGAAGATTCGCAAATGAGGGCCCCCTCTATTGTTGTGTTATCTAAAAAATATACTAATGATAATGTTGATGTTTGGCATTGCCCTCCAACGAAGGCCATTCCGATTCTGACACGGACTAAGTCTGTTGGTTTACCGGAGAGGCGAAGAGATTTGTTGTTAGGAGGTTTTGGGGAAAGTGGTTCAATTATTCATGAACGCAGAGGTCATCTGAGTTTGTCAGAGATTGATATATGCAGGGGTGGTGATGACACTAGTGATGTTGATCATGGTCTGTCGATTTCAGAGGTTGGTGTTAGCAAAGAGGAAGTTGATCGTAGAGGATCAATTGTTATGGATGCAGCAGAATTTTCTAATGTTTTATGAAATGTAATCATCAGTGTAAAAAATAGTGATGTGACTCAAGATGTAATAGTTGATGATAAGGGAAATGTAGTAAGTAAATAAAATTTTGAGTGATTTCATACATAAAATTAATAAAATTTTTCATTAATCATAACAGTGGTTACATTAACAACAAACCATTCTCTCATTTTTGGGGACATTGCATCTAACCAACTACTGTCCCCATTTGTTAATAAAATACATGGAATTCCTCCTCTAATAGTGAGATCTGGTTGGAACTTAACAAATACATGGAAATCTCTCTGGCAGCCTACTAAATTCTTCATTAATTCGGTAGGGACTGTCGAGTATTTGATGTCGTCTATGACGTTGTAGACGGCGTCTTGGTCATAGTCCTTGAAGCTTATTCTGCCGGAGAAGTAATTGTGTCATCCGAGGCTTCTAGCCCAGTCAGTTTTACCTGTTCTTGAGGGTGCTTCGAGGTAGAGGGAGATTCGGTGGATGGACCTCTGCTCTGGTTCCTGTTATCAGAGGAGAAGGAGAGTTCTTCGTCAGTATATAAATTATTGTTATTGTTTTTGTGTATCCCTAATCTAAGGAAGTCGTCTTCCCTCCAAACGGAAAGACAGCAATTTTGACATAACTCGTACTGAACGAAATTTCGACTTACAAACAAAATATCATTTTCTGTCCATTTTTTTACTTCTTCATTTAAGAAAGGAAATGAATTAAAGGGGCTAGCATATGAGGGCCTCTCTCTTTTGTAATGATCCCTCGAAAATGTTTTTAATTGGGGGTATTTTGTGACGTAATCGGTGGGACATCTTTCTTTACAAAAAGCAAAGAATTGTTCCTCCGTTTTTGCTTCGCCAAGTATTCCTCTCCGGGGTATTTTTCATTAATCATGACAGTGGTTACGTTAACATCAAATCATTCTCTCATTTTTGGGGACATTGCATCTAACCAACTACCGTCCCCATTTGTTAATAAAATACAAGGAATTTCTCCTCTAATAGTGAGATCTGGTTGGAACTTAACAAATACATGGAAATCTCTCTGGCAGCCTACTAAATTCTTCATTAATTCGGTAGGGACTGTCGAGTATTTGATGTCGTCTATGACGTTGTAGACGGCGTCTTGGTCGTAGTCCTTGAAGCTTATTCTGCCCACTTAACTTACAGAAAGGGGGCGACTTCGTCGAATGGGGAGAATTTTCATCTAAGGGGAGAAGTCCTTCGAAAAACAGAGACGAACTCTAGAGGGGAATACTTGGCGAAGCAGAAACGGAGGAACAATTCTTTGCTCTCTGTAAAGAAAAATGTCCCACCGATTACGTCGCAAAATACCCCAAATTAAAAACATTTTCGAGGGATCATTACAAAAGAGAGAGGCCCCTATATACTAGCCCCTTTAATTCATTTCCTTTCTTAAATGAAGAAGTAAAAAAATGGGCAGAAAATAATATTTTGTTTGTAAGTCGAAATTGCGTTCAGTACGAGTTATGTCAAAATTGCTATCTCTCCGTTTGGAGGGAAGACGACTTTGTTGAAAATTTATTCCTTAGCATCACCTATTGAATTGCCACAAACACATCGAAGGTATTGATTTTTTTCTTTACAGAGAGCAAAGAATTGTTCCTCCGTTTCTGCTTCGCCAAGTATTCCCCTCCAGAGTTCGTCTCTGTTTTTCGAAGGACTTTTCTCCTTAGCTGAAAATTCTCCCCATTCGACGAACTCGCCCTCTTTCTGTATATACTGTCTACTTGCTGTTGGGGAGTAGAGTTTTTCTATATTTGGATGGTAGATCCTCCCGTTGGTTCCAGTGAGATCGAAAAATCTCGGGTTTGAGGTTTGGATCTTCTTCGTGCATTGAACCATGGCATGAAGGTGAGGGTTTCCATCTTCATGGAGCTCCCTTGCGACAAGTATGTAGTATGGCTGATAGGCTAGTTGGAGGAGAGATTGTAGGAGTTCTAGGAGTTGTTCGTTTGGGCATGGGCATTGTGGGTAAGTGAGGAAAACATTCTTGGCATAAAA